AGACAAGTTTGGTTCTCGAAGTTGAAGGTGCATATTTGTTGGGTACCCTTTCGGTAAGAAAGGATGGAGACTCTATGACTTAGATACAAATGAGTTCTTTGTATCTCATGATGTTGTATTTTCTGAACATATATTTCCTTATAAAGCTGCTGTTTCTGAATCCCTTAACCCCGGTGTGGCCGAGCAACCGTTTGTCTGTAATAATGATGCACAATTCTTTGATGACCATGAGGTGAACAGTGCAGAAAATTCGAATGATGAATCAACTCCTGAAGAAGATGTGACTCCGAAAGCAAGGGGGAGTGGTGAAGATCTTAATGAACAGAGAGAGGGCAACGTGAATTTGGAAAGCAACAATGAAGGAGAAAACCTTGGCCGATGATGTAGGGAAAGGCGTCCTCCTGAGAAGCTGAAGGACTATATATGCCACACAGTGCAGCACATTAACAACCCCCTCGCGGATCATGCCACATCATACCACTCCTCAGGTGCGTCCTATCCTATTACACGTTACGTGACTTGTACTAACTTTTCTTTGAGACATAGACAGTTTTTGGCTGCTATAACTGCAGGGAAAGATCCCACATATTTTTCAGAAGCAATCCGTGAGTCACATTGGAGACAAGCCATGAAGGAAGAAATTGAAGCTCTCGAGCGCAATGGGACATGGACCCTTGAACCGTTTCCCCCCAGGAAGCGAGCCATCGGGTGCAAATGGGTATACAAGACCAAGTATAATTCAGATGGAACGATTGAAAGACACAAAGGAAGATTGGTGATTTTAGGGAACAACCAGAAGGTCGGGATAGACTATAATGAGACTTTCACACCAGTGGCAAAGATGGTGACTGTTCGGTTGTTCTTGGCTGTAGCAGCGGCACGAAAGTGGAAGCTTCATCAGATGGACATGCATAATGCCTTTTTGCATGGTGACCTGGCGGAAGAGGTGTATATGCGATTGCCGCCCGATTTTTCATCTACACATTCAGGGAAAGTATGTCGTCTGCGCAAATCTCTGTACGGATTGCGACAGGCACCCAGAAACTGGTTTGCCAAATTAGGTATGGCGTTAAAGACGTATGGTTTTACTCAATCACATTCAGACTATTCTTTATTCACTTACCATAAAAATGGAGCTACACTATGTGTTTTGGTGTATGTGGACAATCTTGTCGTGGGAGGAAACAATGGGGAGATGATACATCAATTCAAACAATATCTGAGTTGGTGTTTTCACATGAAGGATCTTGGAACACTAAAGTATTTTCTTGGCATCAAAGTCGCCAGAGGAGATGAGGGCATCTATCTCTGTCAACGAAAATATGCATTAGATATTATTTCTGAAACAGGACTGCTGGGGGCTAAACCGGCCCATCTACCCATGGAACAAAATCATCGACTCGCACTGGCCGACGGGAAGTTCCTGGATGACCTAGAAAAATATAGACATCTGGTAGGGAGATTAATTTATCTTACTATAACACGGCCTGAGATTTGTTATTCTGTGCATATATTGGCTCAATTTATGCAACAACCATGACAAGAACATTGTGATGCAGCTCTACGGGTGGTCCGACACTTAAAAGGAAATCTAGGACAGGGAATCATGTTGAGCATCAACAGTGATCTCAGATTATATGCTTATTGTGACTCCGACTGGGCCAGTTGTCCTTTGACACGGCGCTCTTTGATTGCGTATTTTGTAATGCTTGGACGGTCTCCTGTTTTCTGGAAAACCAAGAAGCAACATACCGTCTCACGGTCATCTGCAGAAGTAGAGTACATGTCTCTGGTTGCTGTGACGTGTGAATTGAAATGGTTGAAGAGTGTCCTTCGTGATCTTGGGATGGAACATCCCAGACCTATGAAATTGCATTGTGATAGTCATACCGCTATATATATTGCGGCTAATCCGGTGTTTCATGAGCGTACCAAACATATAGAGGTTGATTGTCACTTTGTTCGTGATGCCTTGCATGCCCGGACTATTGAGACTACTCATGTACGGACTTATAATCAGTTGGCAGATATTTTGACCAAGGCACTTGGGCGACGACAATTCGATTTTCTTTTTCGCAAGTTGGGCATATGTGACCTACATGCTCTAACTTGAGGGGGAGTAATGGAGATATTGTAGATATTGTATATATTTAGAAAGATATTCTTTAGGAAGTTGCTAATATTGTATTTAGGAAGTTGCTAATATTGTGGATAGAGTTTTAGGAAGGTATGATTTTAGGAAGTTGCTAATTTCTAGAGTTGCTAATTTGATCATGATGTAATTATATATATATGGGACAATTGCCTCTATTGAAAGACAAGACAGAATAGCCATTCCTTTGAATTTTGATCCATACAGTTATTCTTTAGCAAGTTTGTCTTAACGATCTATAATCGTTGTGGTAAGTGAACACTAGGGCTATCCTCTGCAATAGAGAAGAAGAGTTAGTTTTTTGTTACATTATTCACTGATAGAGATCAGAGAAATTGTAATCCCACCATTAAAAGTGATAGTAGAAGTTTTTTGAACTAGTGTTCCGTCATTTTTTCCTTCAAAGTTTTAAAAGGATTTTCCATGTTAAAAATTCTTGTATGTATTTATTTTGGGTTCTTATTTTTTTGCTTATTTGCTATCTTCTCCATTTCTTATGTTCACTATTTGTTAGAAATCGCACGTCCCCTTTTCTCAAAAAAATCTCTTAGGCTGTGTTTGGTTGCAATGCAAATAAATTTGTACTGATGCAAAACCATGGCACTGCAAATAATTTGAGTGTAAATTCTAACCTATTTTTGTTTATAATTTTAGTTTATTTTGTTTGATTGCAGTACAAATGAAGTAAATTAAGACATGAAGTAAAATAAAGTAAAATCCAAAATAAACTTTAACAAGAATTAGCATTTTTTACATTTGCACTCTTATACATTTGTACCAGTGCAAATAAATTTGCACTGCAACCAAACACAGCCGTAATGTAAAATGTGATAGAGGTTACTCTTTCCCGGTACTCTTTTTCTCCTTTAAATGAAGTGGACTAACCCAATCCAATAAGACTCAGTCTGGAAGGAGTACAAATACAAATATGTACAGTACAAACAAGGTTCAAAGTATTGACATGTATCGGTCTGTATCGGCCGATATGTATTGTGCCACTGGCTTTCTGATATGCCTCTATAAGAGTTGTATTGGGTCAGACCATAGTTCAGAGAGTAATTGAGACTTAAATCGACCATTCTGAATCAGTTTGATTTAAAAAATAAAAAATAAAACATAAAAAAAGCACCAATATAAGCCAATGCTCCGTAAACCTTGAGTACAAATACATACAAAATGTAAAGTTTTACACTGCATATTTGTGTTAGTACTCCGTACAAACTGAGCCTAAGCATTTAATAAAATAATCACAAATGGTTCCAAAAATAAGGTGATTGAGCCGAATGGTTACAAACCTACAATTACCCAGTTGATGTGAATGTGATTCTTTTTGGACGGGAATCAAGAACAACCTTCACGTGCAAGACACAATGAGAACTAAATCAACATACTTCTGTTTTCTGCTAATGTCATTCTCTCCTGTAAAGTATTCCCCTACTTGTATCTAATTGCTTTTCTCTTGCTAGTTTCCTGATTTACATCTATACCCTTAAATCTAAAGTATATATCCTTTTTCCTTATTTGCATCTATACCCTTAAATCCAAAGTATCCTCTCAAATCTACTTTTGAGTAGGCTGTACAACATGATCTCATGTTTGTTTAGTGGCAAGTTTTTCTCTTTGGTGTAATATTTTTTTTTTCAAAATATTGCATATTAGTTATATTTATACCTCTTATAAAAGGTCTTTGACTCATTCTTAAGAGAGTGTAATGTTCAGAAAACCTATAATATTGGTGATATATACCTTCTTTTTAATATGAAGTTTTTTTTACCAAAAACATATTACCTAATAAATTTTATATGGTGATACAAACTAAATGAAGTTTCAAAGAAGAAACTAGAAATAGAGTTTTCTTCTTCTTCTTCTTCATCATCATCAAAGATAAAAAATAAAAATAAGATATATATTGGAAATGGTGAATTTTGAAAACAAAGAAAAAAGAGAAAAAGGTATAAAGCACTCTTTTTTTTTAATTTTTTTATAAAGGGGACAAATCTCTGTTTATTATTAGCAAGGTTTTTAAAATCGAATCTTCAAACGAACAGGTCAGGGGTCCGGTTCCCAGGTCGAACAGTCTAACCATTCGAACCGAATAGACGGCCTGTTCTAACAAAAAAAAATTAAAAATATTAAAAAAATAAAAAAGATAAAAACGGCCAAACCGTTGAACATTTTGAACGGTTCAACCGTCCGGATCAGCGGTTTGCTGACCAAAGCAATGGTTTTGGGGGAAATAATGATTATGGGGTAAAATGGAACCGGTCACCTGACTAATTCTCGGTTTTTCGGTCCAACCATCCGGTCCGGTCCGATTTTGAAAACCATTATTATTAGTTAAAATGTTTTACAAATTTTGTGTAATTATAAAAGGATATTTTTGTCTTTTAATTGGAGAAGTGCCCACATCAATCCCCCTTAATTTTTTTTTTTTAATTAATTGCTTGCTTTTGGTAACGGAAGAATAGATTCACTTTTCCCCATGACTCACATTAATACTGTGGCTACTATTTTCTTTTTCTTTCCTTATTTTGGAATTTTGTATGTTTTTTAATATTATTTTTTCTTACATGCTTCAGCATATTATTCAGTTTTTCTTTCAGCTCATCCATTCACAAAATAATGCTCTTCAGCATTATTCACTTCCTCTCACCCATACAAGTCCATGCATGTGGATTGATTATCTCCGAATAAGAATATCTGGTAATTTAGAAAGAAAAATCCGAATCTCCAAATCCTTTGCTTCTTTCTTCTTCTTTTCTTTTTTTTTTTTTCTTCTACTAATTCATACCGTTGCCTTTAAATCAATGGGCATCCCTCGTTAGCTCCACCTCAGTTCCAATCTCTCTCTCTCTCTCCTAACTTTGTTTTGGACCCTGCTTTCTGTCAGCTTTGTTTTTCCTGAAACCAGAAAGAGTGAATTGGTTCAATATAATCAGATTCTGATTTCTCTGTGTGTTTCTTCTCTTAAACGGGGAGAGAGGAAGGAAACATGGCAGGAAATGAGTGGATAAACGGATACTTGGAGGCCATACTCGATGCAGGAATCAGTGCAACCAAGTCGAGAAAGAACGGAGGAGGAGGAGGAGGCCATGACAGAAGCTTCCGGCCGGGAAGAATAAGTAATAGAAAAGAGGAATCAGAAGAAAAAGAGAGCAAGGTGGAGGAGACAAATCTGAGTTTGTTCAGTCCCACCACCAAATACTTTGTAGAAGAGGTTGTCAACAGCTTTGATGAGTCCGACCTCCACCGCACCTGGATTGCCGTAAGACTTCAATTCCTTCCATTCATTCATTAATATTGTGTTTGGTTTGAGGGAAAAAATAGGGAAAGAAAGGGAAATGTAGGAAAACTTTTACAAACATTTCTTTACGTTTCCCACATATGCTGCTGCTTTGACAAGTGGGCAGTTCTTCTTTCATTGGATTGGAACCTACTTATGTTTCACATAATGACAGCAATCCAATGGTCATGAATCTCTCTCTCTATATATATACCGCTCTTCTTTTCTTTAGAATTGTTTGTCCTTCTTTCTTTTTCTCTTTTCACTATATGCATGGTAGTGTGGATGCTCCAATTAGTCTGAGACATGCATCTGATTCTGATTTTTGTATGTGTCCATGCAACACTGCTCTATATGTGATGACAAAAGTTGGATTTCAGTAAACCATCCTCATAGCCACTTGTAGCAGTGTATTGAGAATGTCTCCTAATGAATAAAAACATATAAATACAGAGATATTTTATTAGGAGAATGACTGAATCTGATCTCCTTCTCTTAAATTTTCCCTAACCTGTATGTCAAAGATATTTTATTGGGAGAATGACTGATCAGTCCATGTCAAAATTTTTTAGCCCCAGGGTACAAGGGAGATGAACCCTGACTGTGAATTAAAGCCAAATTCACGAAGAAGATGCGGTTTATAGGGGGCTACTAGTAGAGTATGAAGGGCTGTAATTCAGAATTCTTCATTGGATTGCAGAGTACTTAACCCTATTTTGTTAAAAGTAATTATTGGTCAATTAAGACAATAATTATTTTTAACTATTAATTAAATTAAATCTAATCCTCGGTTAAATAATTGTTAAAAAAACGAAAATAAATGAAAAAAAAACTTCTTTTATTCTCTTCCAACCTAAAGGTTCCAAAATCTTCAGATTCAGATGAAGGGATAATCATCACACAATTTTCATTTTAGCATATTTAAATGGAAGGGTAATATAATAAATGAAAAAATAAAAAATGTTCATCTCCCAACTGTAGATCTCTGACAGGACGTCTCTAGAGGTTTAGATAATAACCCCAAGAATAATAAAATTAATATAGAACTCCCAACACTACCATTGAAGAATAAGCGTTAATTAAGCACTTTTATGCCTTCAAATTACCATCTACTTGACAGTTGAGTTGACACTACCTTCTCTCCAGGAGAGGGGCTTTTGACTATTAATTAAATTGGCATCAGATTCTGAATGGAGAAGTGAGGTATGGTTGTTGGGTTTATTCCAGATTGACTGCAAGACATTGGACCTTCATTTTTTATTTTTAGGGCCATTTGCTCAGTTGAATAAGATTGTGGAGTTAGTTGATTGATGCTGTGTGCCTTTTATGGGGCACTAAACCACCCATCCAATGGACAATCTAAGAGGGTGGCCCACCAATTGAATGGACTAGAATGAAACATAGGTTTTGGATGGAGATAAAGAAGCCTTCCACAATGTTCCACTCTTCACCCTTTATTCCTCCAATAAAAGTAGAGCCAAAAAAATTTAAAAACCTTATTGCCACCTCTCTGATAGGGTATCTTAAATCAAATGGTTTAAGGTTTGGCTAGGTTTGGTTAGAGGGCCCACAGTGTCCCTAATCTGATTGACAAGTCTTCAGTTGGTCACAGAAATTGGTGGGTTGAAGGTTCTTCAACTGGTAAATTTAGGGGAATTCAAATGACCATCCGGCCCCTTGAAAATTTTTAATTTGATGAAACATAGAATTTGGAATTTGTTGAAAAAAAAAACGAATTTGGAATTTATTAGATCCACCCCCATCAATTTTGCAAATTTCAAATGACTACTCCTCCATAGTTATTTTCTTAGGTTTTTAAAATTGGACCGGACAAGTAATCATTTTGGGTCCAGTTCTCAAATCGAACAGTCCAACCGTTCAGACCAAACAAACGATCCACTCTAACAAAAAATAAAAATAAAAAAATAAAAAACAGCCAAAAATCATTGTCCGAATTGATAATTCGACTGCCCAGGTCAGTGGTTCATTGATCAAATCAACAGTTTTTGGTCAAAAAGCGATTTTGAAATGAAACAGAACTGGCCAAGTGATTGGTCCCAGTTTTTCTGGCCCAGTCCGATATTGAAAACACTGGCTATTTCTATTTCTTCTAGATTGCCAAAAAATAATTTTTTGTTCAATTTTACTCCATTGCAGCATGGTCCTAAAAAACTGTACCCTAAGACTAGTTGATTTGCACCCCTCAATTCCATCACCAGTTACAGTTTTATTGGATCCAAATACAAACTTAAGTAATATTTACCCTTATATTTTCTCTAAAAAGTTTCAGTTGTTGGTAATTTATATATAGAAAACATAGGATGAAAATTCAAACAATTCTCTATTGAATTAATTTCTGAACTCATTATAAATCTTCATGCAAAAGAATGAATTCCTTGTTTAAGCAATGCAAGTTTGTGAAGATCTCTCTCTAGCATATGCTTTCTTATGTGTCGAGTTGTAATTAAGGTTGCTTTTGGAAAAAAAAAAACTTTAGAATTTGTTTTTCAAAGCCCAAAATTACAAAACCCCAATTTAGGTTTTATGCTTTGGGGGTGTTTTGGCTAAAGGGATTGTTTTGTTTTTAGAAGCAACTCTTACCAAAGACTCAAAATACCTTTTTGCCGATATCTGTTTCCAACAGCCAAGGTTCAAAGTGTCCGTCCATACACCCCAATATAAGGGGTGTATCGATACTTTGAACCATATGCTCAATATTTTTTTTATTGGGGTAGATTTTAGGCCTCCTATCTACCCTCTGAAATAAGTCAAAAGCCCAAAACACTCATATTTCGTGCTTATACATATCCAACGATACAGGTTAATACTTGACGAAATTTTAAACTTTGCCCATGGAAACTAAGTCTCAGTTTGGAAGGAGTACAAATATAAATATATATTGTATAAATACATGCAAAATAATACAAAGTATAAGGTTTTACATTCTATAAATTTATCTTTGCACTCCTTCCAAAATGAACTTAACTAAATTATTCTATTTGCATTTCTTGTTGTTTTGTTCATTCCAAAATCCAACTACAAAGAAGGAAAGGAAAAAGGGAAGGGAGGTGAAATTCACGTGAAGTTAGAGCCTTTATGGTTAGTTCATAGAGCAAAAATGAAGATATCTGATCATATATACATCTCGTGACATTGGAACTGCAGGTAATTGCAACAAGGAATACACGTGAACGCAATAACAGACTTGAGAATATGTGCTGGAGAATATGGCATCTTGTTCGTAAAAAGAAACAGGTCTCTCTCTCTCTCTCTATATATATGTGTGTGTGTGTGACATTTTAATACCTCATTCACAAGTTGGGTAGGCTGGGCTGGGTCTAGGACTCAACCCAGACCCAACCCTAGGAATTTGGCCCCAAGCCCAAGCTCAGACCAAACATGAGGTCAAGCTTGAACGGTCTAATCTAGGCCCAATACATATTGAAATTTGATGCACTTGGGTTAAGTTCAAGAATGGACTAGGCTTGGATTAGTCAATCAGACCACATTAAAATTGGTATAAATGTATATGTATGCATGTACCCATATATGTATGGTTTGCAAAAAGTATGCATGCAAAATGTGTGTCTATATATGCATGTATATAGTCGGACCAAGCTTAGATAAGGTAAGGCTAGGTTCAGGCTACCTAAGTGTTAGGCCCAAGCCCAGGCCAAAAAATGAAAAGGTCCAAACTTATAGCCTTAGGGCCAGATTGAGGGCCAAAAATCTAAGCCCAGCTCATGTAAAATTGCATGTTGGTTCAGTCGAGGCTCAGGTTAGGCCTGACCAAGTTGCACCCCCACTCACTCATAGATGTTTGGCACCCAAGTTGACTATTTGTAAAAAAAAAAAAAAAAAAAAAATGCATAGAAAGGTCCCAAATAGCTTATGTTGATTGTTTTTTCCATACATCCAACGTTTTCAAGGAATCTTAAATACATAGGAAATAGAGCGTGGTGTTTGATAACACTTTTCAGACGTCTAAGATTTGAAATATGGTTCAAAATATCGATACGTATCGTATGAGGAGCTTCCCAATATGCCCCTACAGAGGGTGTATCGGGGTTTTGACTGGTTCAGGGGTTGGGCAGACCTTAAACTGCCCCCTCTGAATCAGATTTGAAAAAACTACTGATACAGGCGTATCAATATTTTGAACCTTGGTTTCAAAATTTTGCTTTTTAAACTGCATGAGTGTTTGGGTTTAGGTATTATTAGAGGATTTGAAACATAAATTCAAATCTGAAATGGTAAGACCTGGTTTCATGTCTTATCAAAATCAGATGTATTTCAAACATTATAAAACGATGCTAATGCCCTCATTACCATCATCTATTTAATAATAATAATAATAATAATAATAAATATTATTTCATAATATAAAAATATTATACAATAACAATAAATATTATTATTCAATATTTATCATTATTTAAATAATAAATGGCATCAATTTAATTTAAATAAATAATAATATTTAGTCTTAATACTTACATAGTAATATGAATATTTAATAATATGTTTATTAATAATAATTAAAATATTTATTATTAATTAAATAAGAAATCGTTACTTATTTCAAAAATCATAATATTTGTTTATTGATAAAATACTATTTTATTTAATATTCTTTTTAATTTTATTTTTATTATTTATAAAATTAACAAATTGTTTATTTCTAAAGGTAAAATAGTAAACTTCATAATTTCAGATGTTGGAGAATTGCTCAAACTCAAATATTATCTTTTGAGAGCCTTTAAAAAGTAGAAAATCATTTCTAATTCTTTTCAGATTTCAGACTAGAATGTCATCTAATTCTTTAGATTTATCAAACGCCACCTAAAGAAATACTACTGAATATTTTATTTTAATTTCAACCATGTATTTGAAATTTGAAAAGTATAAAGCTTTTCAACAAGTTGTAAGCGTGGCCTTATGGTTCACCATGAATCTTTCACGGACTTGTTTCCTCTTTCTTTTATAATAGGAGAAAAAGTTTTATCAAAGCAAAATTGATTATGTGGCGTTTACATGGAGTCAAAATAGGAAAAGTTATCAAACACTGCTTTGGTGGTGTGACCTTTGAAAAGACACATAATAAATAAAACTAAATTAGGATCAGGGCCCACCTTGTTGTCTTTAGTAGGGCTGTGCAAGTTGGGCTGGATTAGTCCGAACTGAATTTGAAAAGTCATGTTGGGTTAGGTCTGTTTAGGGTTAAGTCCTATCTTGCTTCATTTTTTGTATTTAAATATATCAATTATTTTAATTTAAAAGTACAATTTTTTAAAAACATGATTACTATTTACTTTTTACATATAATAATGCTAATTGCTAAAATATGAATTGATCTTTTCTAGGAAACACTTATTCAGGTAAATGTAATTATTCATGTTCTTTTATTTCCCAATTAAAAAAGAGAATGATCATTTTAGCCAGAAAAAATTTATTATTAAAAGGAGCATTTTTGTCCCATTCAAGTGTTGGAAACTTTCCCCCAGTAGGAAAGTTATTTATCTATTTAGGAGATAAGTATCACTTATCCGGAGATAGGTATCACTTATCATAATCCCATTGACCATCCTCCCCCCCCCCCCCCCTCTCAAAATCCAAAAAAAGATAAGAGAAAATAAATACTTTAATAAAGGAAATAGAGAAGTGAGGCAAATTGGATTAGGGTTAGGATTGGGGTTTTATAGGTTAATTGACCTCAAGTCCTAAACCCAACCTATCCTGGCCTGCACCCCTAGTCTGTAAGGTGGTGACATCCAAAAGTTGTGCTAATAAAAGTAATTCTAGATCTTCTACAAACAAGACATCTAAAATGCAATAGAAAACCAAATTAGGAGCAAAACACATCAGCAACCTATATTGTTGTTAGATACAGATGGTTGCACATTAAATCAGTTTTTTTTACGCGTTAAATCAAAATTTTGACCAAAAATCATGTTAGAGATATTAGATAGTCTATTTATTTTTATATTGATTCATATTTTATAATGTGTGTTTACCATTAAAGACTTTAACAACATTAAAAATCCAAATGTGATGTTTTGATTCATCGTGCATTCACATTTGAGTTATGTTGCAACAATTTGCATAGAATGCAAATAGATTTTGCCTTAATTTAAATTTCTGAATCAGAATCAAATCCAAATGATTTTTTTACCAATATTTACCATTTCTAAAATAAAGAAATAACCTTTGATACAATTTTATTTGAGCAATTGATAGAGGAGAGCAAATCAGCCCCCCCACAAGATTGCCCCCCACAACGTCCCACAACACATCCCGGTCGTGTATTAGAAACATCTCTCAATGATGATATCAGAAATGATATCATTATTGGGAAATGTTCATAATACACGGCGAGGATGTGTTGTGGGACGTTGTGGGGGGCAATCTGGGGGGTTGATTTGAACTCTTTGACAGAGTGCTAACCAAAGACCAAAACCATGACGAAATGGGCTTAATCAATCTTATAAAATTTAAATTGCAAACAACTATAAAAGACTTGAATTGTGTTGGCTGCAGATTGAATGGGATGATGCGCAGAGGCTTGCAAAGCGGCGCATTGAGAGAGAACAAGGGCGAAATGATGCCGCAGAGGACTTGTCTGAGCTTTCTGAAGGGGAGAAGGAGAAAGGGGGAGCAAATAACCAAAATGACCAGTCAGTAAGTGATAAAATTCCTCGAATCAATTCCGATATGCAGATATGGCCAGATGACGACAAGTCCAAGCGCCTATACATTGTCTTAATCAGGTAACCTCTGTTATTATTTTATGCATGGTTTTCAAAACTGGACCGGACCGGACGATTCGACTAGAAAAACCGGGAATTGGTCAGGTGATTGATTCTGTTTTTCCCTAAAATTGATTTTATTTTTTTGTCAAAAATCATTGATTTTGGTCAGAAAACCATTGGCCCAGGTGGTTAATCGTTCAAACGGTTTTGACCATTTTTATTTTTTTTTATTTTTTTAATTTTATTTTTTCTTATAAAAATAGATCAACTATTTGGTAATGGTCAAACCGTTCAACCCAGAAACCAAACCCCTGACCGATTTATTCTTTGGGTCAGTTTTAAAAACCTTGATTTTATGTGTTTAAATGAATAATTTTTCAATGGTTTAGTTATCCAACCCCATTTAAGACATGACTAATTAGGGCAGGATCGGATCAAATTGGATATACTTATATCCGAATTTGATTCATGAAATAAAGATGAGATTGCTGAAAGATATATAAACGTGCCGAGAGCACAACATCCAACCGTACATCAGTAATTAGGGGTGCAATTCGGATTGGCCCAAGTTAGCATTTTATATTACTTCGGGCTGGGTTTATTTAAATTTAGTCCAATCTGAGCTCATCCAAGCTGCACCCCCACGGGAACATCTTCCCATGAATTTAACATCTCCTATATTGTTGTGCTCTCAGTGTATTCGTACCCGTTTTGCCTTCATCCGAATCAGACTCAATTTATATCTATCTAATATTTATTACCACAAAGAATCATGTTCTTCCATGGAGTCTCAGACTTTTCTTTTTCATTTTTATCTTAACCCTTCTTTGTTCCCCATCTCTTTTCACTTTTGGGAAAAAAATTGGCTGTTAAAAATTCAATAGCCTCGGTTCAGCCTGTCAACTGGCTCTCTCACATGAGGTCAGAAAACCCTATTGACAACCCAGGTTATCTAATGATAGCCAAAGGTTTCACCCATTTTCTAGTCTTTAGTCAAATCCAGCTGTATTTCTCTCTCTTAGATGATGACACATGTCACATGATGGTTAGTATATAGGTTTCGACTATGATACTAGAAAGACAAAATACCTAAAATTGCTTTTGGAAACGATGCAAATAGAGTGTAAATCCTAGTTCAAGGTAAATTTACACTCTGGTTCATTTTTGCCTATGTTTGGCAACATTACATTTATGCATTAACAAATAACAGACCAATGTATATTTACATTGACAATAAGATGTAAAAGTATATCAATAAAAAAAAAGTAAATTTGCATTCAAGTGGGCACGTTTGTATCCATTACAATTATGTTTGGTAAGAAGATAAATTTGTCAGTTTAAAACTAACCCAACTTTACAATTTATATGAACCATTTTACACTCTACATATTTGCATTTACACTTATTTGCATCATTTCCAAGCGCAGCCTAAAGAACTTATAACAAATTAACTGCTATCATAAAAGTGGTAATCAATCAGATGGTTATTTATCAAATTCACCGAGGGATGGTGGCATTTGAATGGTCAAAGCCCTTCCAACATCATAGATTTTTTTTCCATATTTTAAAGCAAAGCCCTCAAAATAAGAGGATTTTTTCAAACATGTGGCTAGGCTTTTCACTTAACAAAAATGCTAGGTAAATTTTAACTAGATAAAAAATATTTAAATTTGTGTGGGCCCCAATTTGTCTCTAAAATCGAGTTCTTTCTTACTATTACATCCTTTAATCACAAATTACAGATAATTTAGGAGGCAGTCTACAATGTGAATAGTTTTTTTTTTTTTTTTTTTTTTTTTGTCTTGTTGCTAGTTTTAAAAACAAATAAAAAACCATCTGGTTTAATTTGAAAACAGATTGTTTTTCAAAACAAAAACACAAAAGAAATGCTCTTGGTTGTGTATGTGTTTTTGTTTTCAAAACTGAAACAAAAAACATGTCCTTGAATTTCTAGTTTCAAAAACATGTATGTATCTGGTTATTTAATATCATGTTCCATAAATCATACAATTTTTACATTATAAAATTTGTTTTTGTTTTTAAAAAGCATTTTTTTATGGATCCAAAAACATTTATTGCTTTTGAAACAAAACCAACTTATTTATTTCTTTGAAAACAAAATTAAAGGTCAAGAACATGTTTTTATTAATTTTTGGTTGATATGGTAATTTGAAAAACAAATGAAATCAATACTAATCAAATGCCCCCTTAGTTTCCTAATTCAAATAAAACCCCAACAAGGATAATATCAAGACATTACACAAGTCTGTCTTCCCATCTTTAAATAAAGCCTATTGTTTAATTACAAATCTTACCTAACTTAGGGGGTGACAAGATGAATTTTTTGTTTTCATTTGTTTTTGGTCTCCACATCAGCAAAAACAATAAAACATGTTCTTGAACTCTGTTTTTGTTTTTTTAAGGAAAAAATAAGTTGGTTTTGTTTCAAAAAACAATATATCTTTTTGGAACCAACAAAATAATGATTTTTAAAATAAAAACAAAATTTCCAGTATAGAAATTATATGATTTATGGAATATGATGTTAAATAATCAGACGAAAAATGTTTTTAAAACCAGATTCAAGAACATGCTTTTGTTTCAAATTTGAAAACAAAACACACACACACAACCAAAAACATGTTTTTCATGCTTTTGCTTTAAGAAACAACCTGTTTTCAAACCAAATAGTTTTGATTTGTTTTTAGAACCGGCAACAAAAAAAGCAATTCATGTTATAGAACGCCCCTTAATCTCTTAAAATCAAATAAAGAAATCCAGATAAAATGCTCGAACACTTACAAGAAGCCTAATTATTATTATTATTATTATTATTATTATTATTAAAGCAATTTTTTATATTGTTAATCTTAGCTTACATGGATTGGTGCGTGGAGAAAACATGGAACTAGGAAGAGATTCAGACACTGGTGGACAGGTAACTATTCTTCCCGGATTCATTTCCCTCTCACCACTTCACCTTTTCTCTTCTATCTCTTTTTTTTTTTTTTCTGTTTGGAGGATTCACGAGTTCATTACTTCATTATATTTCTGATTTCGTTTCATCCCATTGAAATAGAGATCTGTTGTGATCCATATAAGTTATTTGTTTCCTTCTCTCCTCCTCCTTCTTCTTTAATTTTACTTCTATAATTCAAGGTTGTATTTGGTTCTTCAGAAAATAAGAAAGAGAAAGTTTATAGGAATTTGTTAATAAATATCATAAGAATATTCCTTAAAGATTTTCTCACTAATTTGATGATAAACCAGAGAATTTCTGGAAATGCCACGTTACCATGAGAATGGATAAATTAATAATTACATCTTAATATATTTTGACTAAAAACCAAAGCATGAGTATGAATAGATGAATTGCCCACAACGTGCCCAGCCTAGAAACTGTCTTAACAGCCTGTACTGTTGGGTCCCAACAGCCAAAGTTAACAGGTTAAACATGAAAAATTTGGACTAAGCACAATTTTAGATTTAGAATATTGTCCACCTGCTGGACTGAATCCAGACCATAGAAAGACAGACTACAAGGCCCATTGGGCTTGATCTCAATGTTTGTTATATTCATCTAATCAAATATGAATTTCTTGGTGGTGAGCAGGTGAAGTATGTGGTAGAGCTGGCTAGGGCTCTAGCCAACACCAGAGGCATCTATCGTGTTGACCTCTTAACTCGCCAGATCTCCTCTCCAGATGTAGACTCTAGTTATGGTGAGCCCATTGAAATGTTGTCAGGCCCATCTGATGCCGATGATCAGGTTGAGGGTGATAGTTGCGGGGCCTACATAATTCGAATCCCATGCGGACCTCGTGATAAGTATGTGCATCCTTTCTTAAGGGTTATTTTTGGGCACTAATTAGGCCCACGTTAAACATTAGTGGGCTATGTAGGCCCATGTATCCCTAAATGATCTGTTAAACCCAAAAGATAAAAATGGCTTTTACCATAGAAAGTACATACCGTATAGATCTGTTAATGGGCTGGGCTTCCGCCTCAGGTTTTGGGATAAGCCAATTCAAATTTTAGCAAAAGCTCAACTCAAGCGTAGCCCGGACAAGGTCTGAACAAACTGTTTGTTTAAGGTGTGAACTACATTTGAGAGGAATATGGTATGGAACAAAATGATGTGGTTCCCACTTTATATGAGAGAGCGCAGTGGTGCAAATTTTGCATCAGTTTTTTAGATATAAAACTTGCACTGTCAATAAATGCAAATTTTGCATCAGATAAAAATGCAAATTATAAGTACAAACAAATAGATGTAAAACTATGTGACAGGTACATACCAAAGGAGTCACTCTGGCCTCACATATCAGAGTTTGTTGACGGGGCACTGGCCCACATTGCCAACGTGGCAAGAGCCCTAGGGGAACAAGTAGATGGAGGGAAGCCAATGTGGCCCTATGTGATTCATGGCCACTATGCCGACGCCGGAGAGGTGGCAGCGCACTTGGCCGGGGCCTTGAACGTTCCTATGGTGCTGACGGGGCACTCGCTCGGGCGGAACAAGTTTGAGCAGCTATTGAAACAAGGCAGGCTGTCCAAGGAGGACATCAATTCAACATATAAGATAATGAGGAGGATTGAAGCTGAGGAGTTGGGACTAGATGCTGCTGAAATGGTGGTCACTAGCACAAGGCAAGAGATAGAAGAGCAATGGGGTCTGTATGATGGGTTTGATATAAAGTTGGAAAGGAAGCTTAGGGTGAGAAAGAGAAGGGGAGTCAGTTGTTTTGGTCGCTACATGCCTCGGATGGTGGTATGAACACTCTCTTCCCTTCCATCTCTGCAACTATTTTTTCTTAGACAGAAACCAACTTTCCCACATTCCATGGGCATCAAGGATGTGATTTATACAAATTCCAAATTTTGGGTTGCCAAAAGTGTGTTCGGATCTCCTACCCACAAGGACCCTATACACACCTCAATATAGCTACACAAGAACATCTCACATATTTACATATTTCCATTCATGAGGAGAATACACCTGCAATGTGCTGAGTAGTAGGTGTGGGTAGGAGATCTGGATTGGCTAAAAGCAGCCCAAATATATGGGAATGTTCTTTTGTAACTAATGTTGTTAGGACTCGGACCGGACTAAAAACTTGAATGCTCATGGGACATAATTTTATCATTTAACTGGACAGTTAATCCATTCAAACCATTATTTAACTGAGATCAAATCAGCCCCCACAAGATTTCCCCCCATAATGTACCATAGTACATTTTCGCCGTGGGAACATCTCCCAATGATAATATCATCATTTCTGATATTATCATCGAGAGATGTTCCCAATACATGGCGGGAATGTGCTGTGGGACGTTGTGGGGGGCTGATTTGAACTCTATTTAACTGGGACCTAAAGATAACCAGTTCCCAGTGTTAATGGTCTGAGAATTTGGTACTGGTTGTCAAGTATCTTCTTAGCTTGTACCTTTTTGCTTCAACAAAGAAAAATGGAGTTCAACACTTCAACCCACATGCAATGGTTCAGAAAAAAGAAAAAAAACTTGTTTGTGGGTCTAGCTTGATGGGTGCTCTCAATTTTGTCAGTCTTTGGACTGGACCTTATTGTCAGACCACCAAGTTGGGCTTCTGGCACTAAATTTAAATATATTTAAAATATATGATATTTTATATTATATACATTATATGGAAAAATTTATGCTACCAGAAAAATTTTAAGTCTTTTTTTTTCTGACATTATGTTTTTTCTAGTATCATAGTCGAATCCTATATTTGTATATCCCCAAATTTTCTGGTCTAATGAAGGTTTGGCTGGTTGGGCTGAACACAAAATCTAGGCCCAAGCCCATATGTTTGTGGACTAGGTTAGAAATGAGAACACTTGGCCACTACTGGGATAGGTAGTCAAATCAGTTTTTACGCTGCCAAATAGTTAGAAATGTTGATCTGGTCAAATCTACCCTACATAGTGAAATACATGTATTAAAATCTTTCACAACTTGTAATATTTACTGTTCCAAGCTAATGTTATAAGCAATAGCTTTAAAGATAATTTGGAACTGGAAAAATCTATGAGTTTTGATAAAAGTCCATTTGATTGGTTATCACTTTTATGATAAAAATCCATTTGTTGGTTGTAAGCTTTTTCATATCTTGTCTTTCAGGTATCATAGTTGAACCCTTTAGAATTATTTGCTTTTTAATTTGTTTTTGGAATTTTAATTGAATTGAAAGGTCAAACCGGAGATTTGAACCATCAACCTTTGACCCAGTGTCAAAAAACGGTTTTGTATCCGGTTCGAATCTGACAATATTGGTTGTTCTTACTTAGTAGCCTAGTGAAATGACTATTTGATATGAACTTTGTCTGTAGTAATGAATCTATCTCTGTTATTAGGTCATACCACCAGGGATGGATTTCAGCTATGTTACAATGCAAGAATCATTAGAAGGAGATGGGGATTTCACATCGTTGATCAGCTCAGACAGGAACCAGACCAAAAGACACTTGCCTCCTATATCGTCCGAGGTTGTATACATTTTCCAACCTTATTTAATTTGGTATTTTTGTATTATTTCTTGAAATATCGCTTAATTATTTACCAAGTTCAACGTATCGATACTCTTAATTATTTAATATTATTAAAGGAAAGCTCTTAGACTAATTAAGAGAGCTTCTCTTCAAATAACTAGTATCATATTTTCTCAAGAAATAGCATTTCAAAAATGGTTATTCTCATTTTACTTTTATTTTTTGTATACGTATCTAAATGATAGTTACCTTCACTATCAAAAGGTTAGGGGTAATCATCTCCACTAAAAAGAAAAGAAAAAAAATTAAAAAAAAAAGACTCATTTAAAATAATGTGGGATCCATAAAGTGGGTTATCATTTAGAAATAAAACTTGATTTAAATAAAATAACAAATTTATATATAAAAAAATATCAAATAAAATAATAATCTAAATTTACAGTATAAAATATGGGTGTCAAACAAAATTTATCAGAATACATAAATAAAAACAAATCAGAATACCAACCTCGTATTTAATATGAGGGTCATTCTCTAATAACAGAATTAAAATAGTCACTCTTATTATTTAACCTATCGGTATGTGAAAATTTCTGCTCTGGATCATTCTAATTTTACTTTTATGAATCATGTTTTACAGATAATGCGATTTTTTACAAATCCTCACAAGCCTATGATACTGGCGTTGTCTCGTCCGGACCCTAAGAAGAATGTCACCACTTTGTTGAAGGCTTTTGGGGAATGTCATCCCCTCCGGGAGCTTGCAAATTTGGTAATAACACTAAGTACTCCTTTCTATTTAGGAATGACAATGGGGTGGGTTCGGGGCGGGGATTATATTCTCTGTTTCTGCTCCCAATTCTGAAATTAATCTCATCCCTGTCCTCGATCTTTGCTGGAGATAAAATTTTTCATTTTTCCCCAATCTCCGATGAGGATGGGTTTTCCCGCTTGGACCCGAATCCCCAAAATTTTTTTAGATAATAGATTTTTTTAAAAAATAAATTTACTTAAAATAAATAGAGATTTTAAATTATAAATAATGTTTTAAATATGTTTTATATATTCGGGGTCAAGGCGGGGTGGAGACCTCAATCCCATCCCCGACCCCATCGGGTTCCTGTAACATCCCTATTTCTGTTCAATCTTTACAAATAATGGATTTAAAGCCAATTTGTTTTTACTTTTAGAGTTCATACTGAAGTATAATATTACTTTAATGGGAAAATCTATGCTGCTGGAAAGATATGATATCATATATAATTCATAACAGCTTTGATCAATCAAAACCATTACATGAGTTTTAATAAATAGCACTGATTGGTTATCACTTTTATAATATTGATGGATTAGTTACAAGTTTTTGTGGTATCATAGTCCAACCCTACTTGTGCATTATTGATGTAGAAAGTGTTTCTACTTTTTCTCATGGGCCCTTAAATCATTTCTCACTACTTAAATCCATTTTCTTTTTGGTCTGACCCGTTTCCTTTAATTTGTAATAAAGTTACATCTTTACAATGGTGCTATAGATAGTTTTCTCTACATGTGATAAATAATCTTAATCTACTTTCTCTCATTTTTATTATCTATATTCGATTCATTTAGAATTAGCAATTGATGGTTATGGAACACAAAATATCTTGACTTAAAAAAAAAATTCTCATGTTTCAAAGCACACTACACCCTATTGCCTTCAAATGCACTCGTTTATTATATTTCACTTGAAAATCAGTAAGGGAACGTTTGGTTTACAGGAATAGAGGTCTGGAATTGGAATGGGAATGAGTCATTTTGATTCCAATTATTTGGTTGGATGGAATCGGAATCCCATTCTCATTCTTGCTGGAATGGCATTTCCTCTCCTTTCCCAGGAAATGAAATCTCATTCTAGCTTATTCCAATTCCAATTCCTGTCTGAACCAAATAAACTACGGGAATAGATCATTCCGATTATGATTCAAAGGAATTTTGATTCCGATTTCAATCCTGATTCTGATTACAAACCAAACAATCCTAAATTTCAAATTCCTGGAATACATCACACCATCACACTTCCACGGCACAAGACATCACTAAGGATGTGTGAATTCCAAAATGCACAATTTCAAGCACACCACTGTGGGGCTGAGTAAACTGAAACACATTGGGCGTGGGTTGAAACCATGGCACATAACAAGTCTAAGGGTCCATTTGGTTCACAGTCGGAATCAGAGTCAAAATCCTTTGGAACTGGAATCTAAATGATCTAATCCTATAGTCTATTTGATTCATACAGGAATCAAAATGATAATTGGAATAAGCTGGAATGGGATTTCCTTCCCAAGGAGAGGGAGGGAATGGTCATTCCCTCAAATAGAGGAATGTCATTTCACCAAAAATGGGAATAGGATTCTAATTCTGCCCAATCAAACAGTTGAAATTGGAATGGTCTAATATGATTCCAATTTCAGACTCCTATTCCTACAAACCAAACGGGCCCTAAATTATCCCAAGTCCCATAAAACTTGAGCACTGGGCTGAGTACAGCCCAGCCCCCTAGTCTACTAGTAATGGACGTGTTCACGAGCTGGGCTTTAGACCCATTAGAATTTTGACAAAAGCCAAGCCCGAGATTGGCCATGAACAGGTTTAACTAGTAGGCTAGGAAGAAAATGTAATTTCAGATTTGTGAAGTGGATTGAATAATAAAAAACCCAATCCTGAAGGGGATGTAATTGAATTATTTCTGCCTCTGTTACTTTATTAACTCGAGGATTGTTAATATTGTTGTGGTAGACTCTGGTACTAGGAAACAGAGATGACATAGAGGAGATGTCTAGCAGCAGCTCAGGTGTTCTCACGACAGTTCTCAAGCTCATTGACAAGTATGACTTGTACGGCCAGGTGGCATACCCCAAGCATCACAAGCAATCTGACGTCCCAGAAATATACCGTTTGGCTGCCAAGAGCAAGGTATTATATCTACAGTACGCATAGTACACAGGGGATCACTACCCCCTTTCCCACCGAATTCTGAGTAGGATCAAAATCAAATTGATCAAACAACTTTTTATGAATTTGGGCCTAGCTCAAGCACTTAATGGGCCCCCAAAATTAAAAGTTTCACTTTCTCTGCCAAATGTTATATCTACATTCTATTGGAATAGAAACCAAACTTTGCACCAATGGAAGTGCTGCAAATGGATCCAATCAAATCGGATCTTATCCATCATATTTATATCGAATTGAATTTGTACGCAATATTAAATAATATAAATAAATTAAATTAAAATTTATTAAAATATTATATAATATTAATAAAATAAACTAAAAATGACTTTAATATTATATTTCATGAACAAAATCAATTTAAAATTACTTGTATAAAACTTAAACCCATAACAATTAAGTAAAAAAAGCAACATTCATACCAAGTTTATTAATAAATGCTATATAAATTTTAAGTATATATGAACACATATATTAAAATCTGATTATCGAATTGGATAGGGTAGACCCATGCTTTATCCAATTATAAACTGATGAAATTCACACAATTGGATACCATTTGCAGCTCTACACCAAAGTAAGGGTGCAACTTTTTTGGGTTAGGATTGGGAATTTGTCAAATTTTCAATGAATCCAACCCGAAACAGTGTAAACTATTAACTTGGGCCAATCCGACTTGCAGCACTACACATAAATAAGGAACACGAAGGCCAAAAGGAGTATTCACCCATGTGAATGGTTTTGTTTTGAGAAACAAAAACAACTGCTATATCAGCAAAACCAATACAATTTTGCTGATGTGGCAATTATTTTTGCTATAGAAAACAAAACCATTCACATGGGTGAATACTCCTTTTGGCCTTCGTGTTCCTTATTTATTTATTTATTTATTTATTTACTTTTAGCTTGATGGTAGTTCAGCAATTAGAACTAATACATCTTCCACTGATCTGTATCTGTTGTAGGGTGTTTTCATCAATCCGGCCCTAGTAGAACCTTTTGGTCTCACTCTCATTGAGGTACCTTACAAATAGGATGTGATTATGGGGATTTTAATGTCTTAAATTGAATTGGCTCATGCTCTATGTGCTTTAGGTTTGTAACTAAAGCAAGTTCGTCATTGTTTTACAGGCAACTGCTTATGGGCTTCCTGTTGTTGCCACTAAAAATGGAGGCCCCGTGGATATCCACAAGGTAAGACCTTCTCAAAAGCCCCACTCTGCAATGTGAACTCCCAAAAAAAAAAAAAAAATAGAGCTGTCAATGGATCGAGTAGGATGGGTCAGTCCCAAAACCAGTTCTATAAAACAAACCTAGAACCAAAACAAGTTATTAATCCGGATAATTGTGTCTGGCATAATTGCTTATCAAGTTTACCCCCTTTTAGACATAAAATATAACAATATTACAAGAAAACAACAAGAACCGGTCCTACCCAATTATTTTACTTTAACTGATACATATTTTATTTTATTTTATTTTTTGTTTTTAAATTTTAGTTTTATATACATGCATTCATACATATACTCTAGGGGTCATAAAAAGGGTTGAGAATGAGAAAAGAGAGAGAAATCCCAATGAATCACTCCAAGGGGTCGTAGAATCACTCTAAGGTTTGTAAGAATCACTCTATACCCTAAGGGAGCTCTTAAGAAATCTTCATTCATTCATTTATTACCCTCAAAAAGAAGAGAATACATCTATTTATAGAGTGAATTGTATGGCCCAGAACACTGTTCACCATAATTACAAAAAGTATTTGTCTTGTGCATCAAGAAACACAATAATTTTCTATCTATTAATGCAAATAAACCAAAAATTGAAAGACAAGCATTATTAAGTAATATTAAGTTATAGTAACAAGATGCTATAACTCAAGTTCACATTGGGCTGGTCAAAATGACAAAAATACCCCTGACCAGATCAGTCCAAGCATACAAAAATGTAAAAAATTTAAGAAAATTCCAAATTTCATTCTTCAGCTCCTGATTACCAGACCCATCAATAGCTTTTAGGCCATATCTGTTCTCGGATAAACTGATGTTACACTAGATGGTAGGTACCCACATCATTTCAATTCAACTTTTGAGTTACAAACCTATACACCCCATCAATTGGTCCAACTTGAAGTGGGTTTGACCTTGAAAGCAATTGGCCAAACTACAAAAATATTGAATCTAATGATGGAGTTTCTTAATTCAGGCTCTTTGCAACGGCCTTCTTGTAGACCCACATGACCAGAAGGCAATCGCAGATGCCCTACTCAAGCTCGTTTCAGACAAAACCCTCTGGTTCGAATGTCGAAGAAATGGCCTCAAGAACATCCATCGCTTCTCGTGGCCGGAGCACTGTCGTAACTACCTCTCCCATGTTGAACACTGTAGGAATCGGCACCCCACCACCCACCACCTTGAGGTTGTCCCAAGCGTTGCCGAAGAACCCATGAGCGACTCACTCAAGGACATCGACGATCTCTCCCTGAAATTCTCCATTGATGCAGACTTCAAGTTGAATGGAGAACTTGATGCTGCTGCTCGACAGAAGGAGCTCATCGATGCCTTGACCCGTCGTCGCCCTTACAATGGCGCGGTTAGCATCAGTCATGGCCCGGGCAGGCGGCAAAGGCTTTATGTAATCGCTGTGGATTGCTACGACGTCAACGGAGGAGGAGGTATGGCCAACTGCTTACCGGTGATCATCAAGAATGTGGCGGCAGCAGCAGGTGGCCCCGGTCGGACCGGTTTTGTGTTGTCGACTGGTTCCACACTTGCAGAGACGTTGGAGATGTTGAGATGTTGTCAGTTGGAGGCAGGGGATTTCGATGCATTGATTTGCAGTAGTGGGAGTGTGATGTGTTACCCGTGGAGAGACTTGGGGGCTGACGTGGACTATGCGGCCCACGTGGAGTACAAGTGGCCTAGTGACAATGTGCGAGCAACGGTCAGGAGGCTTGCCAGGATGGATGGTGGGGCCGAGGATGATGTGGCGGAATTTCTCCAGGGGTGCAGCTCTCGTTGCCTTTCTTATTTGGTAAAACCAGGAGCCAAGGTAAGAATTACTTTTGGAACAGTCTTTTTATATACCGAGTGTTTAGATACTTGATATATATATATATATGTTTTTTTTCAAAATTGATTACGGGGTCGGTTTTAGACTTACCTTATTTCATGTTGGAGTTTTGGAGAGTTATTAAGACATAAGGTTCAAAGTATCGATACAGGCCGATATGTTTATTTTTTATATTTTATTTATTTATTTTAAACCAGTTGAGAGGGATTGATTTAAGTCCTAATTACCCTCTGAACTATGGTCTGACCCGATACAACTCTTATAGAGACATATCAAGAAGCCATCAGTACGATACGTATCAGTCAACATGGGCCGATATGTGTCAATACTTTAAACCTTGCTAAGACAATACAATATACTTGATATAGAGCATATCCCCTAAATCCATAACCCTCAACCCTAGTACATGCGGAATTCATTCCCAAATCTTCACTACAACCAACAGCTAGGCTTTATCATAGATGTGATAACCAATATATTTCTGGTATCATATCTTTTTAGCATCTTAGGTTTTTAGAAGATTGATGGGTTGGGTTAGATAGGAACTAGCCCATCGGCCTATACATAACTTGGGCTTCAATCTTGGGGATGGACCACGTCTGGGCCCAAAGTATCTGCATGAGCCCTAACCCCAGATGCAACGAGATTAGATCCCAGACAACTTTCATGTACCTAAAAATAGTTTAACAAAGAAGAATCCAATGAGAATTTGAGTGAAATACCAATTGATTGGTCATCAATTATTAGTATCATATATTTTCGGTACCAAATAGTGTTTCAGTTTGCTAACTTTGGGTACCAAATTGACAACTTGTGGAACTCTTTGTTTGGGTGGCAGACAAGGAGGATCGATGATTTGCGCCAAAAGCTACGAATGCGAGGCTTCCGATGCAATCTTGTATACACGCGTGCCTCTACGCGGTTGAATGTAGTTCCTTTGTTCGCATCAAGGGCGCAGGCCCTAAGGTTTGTTTTCTTTTCCTGGAGCCCATAACTTTGCCACCTGTCCCAGATTAGGATGATCATGGCCCATCGTTCAACCGATCCCACTTTGATGATTAATTGGATCAGACGGTCTAACAACATCGATCCTGCTGGTTTTTGGTGTAAACTCTATCTTTGTTGGACCCAGCCAATGGTGGGTCTTAATCTGTAGGGGGTTCACTTCATTTGAGTCCAACCTATCAAATGGACCTGGTAACAAGTAAGGTCCAAGCCCGGATTGAGACTATTCATATAAAACGGAGGCCTAAGCCTAACATGACTCTAGACCCAAGCCCGTACATAGGCTCTCTTAAGGAATTTTACAAAATTTGTTATGAAATTTCTCTTAATTTTGTGTTTTTCTCTCAATTTCTATCAAACCAAATACGGCTTTAGGGGCCATTTGATAACGAAGGAAGTGGATGAACTAAATGATTTAGGGTTCCTTTGTTTTGTGAGAATACGGTTTGGAATCAGAAATCGATGTTCCATTCTGATTCATTCGGTTGGTTCTTGATGGAATGGCATTCCTCCATTTGATGGAATGGTCATCTCTTCCCCACCCCCACC